ACTGTAATGTTTCCTAATGGAGTTGTAATTTTGATTTCGTTCTTCACAAGGGCTTCATAAAGAATTACAGTAACTGAAAATATAAATATCACTTGGCCAGTATAATGAACCATACTGAAATCATATGAATATTAAAATATCAGAGCTTAATATTTCCCCAGCAACACCACTCAACTATATTAAATGGATATGTTATTTTATATGTCTTTTTTTGATAAATTTGAACATTATGAAACCATAAAGCTTGTGAGTTTTGGTGTTTATCAATTTTATGGGTTTCTGTCATTTACTTGCAGAGTGATGAACTAATCCATAAGACTTCAACAGTCAGATCATTTTTTTTTTAGTGAAAATGAACGATTTCTCATCAACTTCAAATGAAATAATACTTGGTCTTTGGATAGATATAAACCAAGAAATACAATCTTCTCCCTTCAAACTTGTGTCTGCAATTTTATCTTCTGCTGTTTGCATTTAATAGAATATATTTATTATTTTTGCAAGTAATAGTAACCAAGGCATAATTACAGCTTTCCATAAGTTCAGTAAATGCTATATTAAATGGTCAAATAGTAATAATAAAATAAATCAAAAGTTTATTTTTGTAGATTTATTTATCTCCGGTGAATAATTGAAATTAATAATAAAGATAAATAATGCATACATTGTGTAATGCATGCACAAATTTTCAGATGTATAATCATTAAAGATGGCTACATTGTATATATTTTTGAAGGTAATACTTCACATTATCATTTCTAGCCTACAAATACAATTTCTATTAATTGTAATAAGTCATAATCATGTAGGTTTTGTGAAATATTATTATTCTAATACCAATTTAGACTGGAAATTTCTTCAAGTGCTATTTTCTGGAAGTTGGACACTGAAAATTGTGTGCTGTATATAGGAAATTAGCAGTTTCAATGCTTAAAAATTTCCAGTTACATCCAGGATAATTATTTTCTTACATATTGCATGAATTCAGGTATTTATTCAGAGGTAATACCTTTGTGGCACTTGATAGCTATCTCCTGAGCCTCATGAAAAGATCACACCCTTGGACTTTTATGGAGTTTTGTGTTTGTTCTGGCAACTCACCCAGCACAAGATATTTTCATAAAGTTCTAGACAAAACTGCAGAGTTTGGGGTTTTTTATGGTATGTGCTCATTCGGCCTGTGGGGACTGAAAATCAGTCACAGGAGGGACAAAAGTTGGTGAAATGTTTTCTGTGGGGTTTTTTCTTTACAGGGAAGAAAGGCTTTATTTATTTATCATACATTCTCCTTAAGTTTTACTTCTGTCAACAGTGATTTTTTTTTCCTTTTTGAAACATACATTCAAAGAAACAACTAAATTAATGGTACATTTATGAGAAATGCATGCATGTAAAAGGTGTCTTCCTGCCATTCACCTAGCTAGTGAAAGAATGAGGTTAATGCTTAGAACCTTACCAAAAAGATTAAATAGGTGTTTTTATAATGTTTGGGGGTTTTGTCCATCTGCTAAAGAATATAATTGGAAAGGAAAATTTCTGGTGCTGTCTGTTATAATAGGCCCTGACAAAACTGTAACCATAACTACTGACTTATAGATACACAATTTGTGGAAATAGTCCCTTTTGGGGTCTGATATTTTCCCAGGCTTGGTCTCTGCTAAGGAATTATTTATTTATTTGTAAAAGCTTACGAGAAATGTGTGTGGTTTCAAAGGGCTGCGAGCACCCCTGGAGTGCTGCAAAGGCTTTGATGTTGGGAAGGCAGCTGAGTCAATTCAGGGGGAAGAGCTTAGTTGTGCCCTCTCATCCCACCGCCAAACCCTGTGTGGTCAGCTGGCTGCCCTTTCAGCAACTGGCCAGAGGTGTTTCTTTCAGGTTAGTGGGCCAGAAAGCAAAGTTAACCTTCCAGACTGCTCTCTGAGCTCTGAACATAAAGGCTGGGATTTTTCCCTCTCTCTGTGGCCTGTGAGTGGACCCGATGTGCTTGAGCACAGCCGGCTGGGAACGTGGTGGTGGTGGTGATCCAAACAAAGGAAACATAAATACCACACTGCATGTTGAAGCTTTCCTTTGACGGTACCACAAAGATGTACTGTGTTCTTACCCTGTCCTCATCTCAAATGCACTGATGATGCACCCAGATGAAATTGTAAAGGCAGTTTAAGAAAACCTTCTCTAAAGCATGTCAGCATTTCACTTCCCTGGGTGCTCGTAGTATGTTCTAAATGCATAAAAAAAAGAATATAAAATAAAATTTGTGGACATCAGCTGAGGTGAGCTCTGTTGGGTCCTTAAAATTTGGATTTCCTTATTTGATGATTAGCTACATAAACATTTGCTTTAATATTAATTTCATCCAACAGTTGTTTCTATAGGGAGACGTATCATATAAATGAGTTTTAGTTACAGTGGCAGCAAATAAATCTTTTCAGGAAAAATGTTTGAGGAAGTGGGAATACAATTAGCCCTTTTAAATCATTTTCCCTAAAATATGTGAAATAGCAGGTCACAACAATTTATATTTGGTGTCTTCTATCTAACACAAGTCCAATTCCATTCTTAAGTTAAAAGCTTCTCAATCTTAATAATTTTCATCTTTAAAATCTTAGAGTTCCAGGTTGACAAAATCAGTGTGACTTCTGTTGCTTTTATTTAAATCTGATTTTTTTTAGACAAACTAGTATTATAGTCTCTTGGTAATTTTCTTTTTTCTATCAATTCCATCTGATTTGTGCCAATAAACAGTTCCAGAGAGCTTGTTATTTTTCACTATAGTGTGCTCTTTAATTAGTTGACCTTGCTTACCACAAGCACTTTAATAGTTTCACAATTGCACAGTTTTTAAATTGATAAAATTTTATGATTGCAGTCCTAGTAATACCAAAATCACACTGCTCTGTACATTGGAGATTGCCCAGTGTTTTATGTTCCTGACCTAGTCCCTTTTTAAGAGAGTGATCACGGCCTCTAAGCCTCACAAGATCCATCAGCAAGTGAATTCTAAATCTGATACTATATATTAAAACAGTACAATTGATAATTTTCTGGTCTTTGTGACATCAAGATGCCCAGCAGATACGGATTCACAGAAGAGCATTCTGCTCAGATGGAGGTAGGCAGTACTCCACTGAGTCCAAAACCAGATCTTCTGCATGTGTGTAAGGCACTGGGTGCCAATTTACAGGAAGGGCCACCGGATATATTCAATGAGTTTGGGTCCTCCAAAATCTGCAGTATAACTCTTCATTGATACTGTGATCAACAAAATTATTTAGCAGCTCTTTGACTTCCATGAGACAGGATTAGGTGCCATGACATTCATAAAATTAAGTTCACAGAGGAATAGAAAATAAAAAAATATAGGGTATTTTTTGGATTGTGATTGAGTCTCTTTGGCCTGCTTCAACCATAGCAGTCACTGTCTTTATAACTTACTGAACTCAGAACCCAAAGAATCAACCTAATTTTATTCTCAGGAGATCAATCAAGGAATTAATGATCAGAGAAAGCTGAATTATTTACTGATGGAGATCTCAAAATTCAGATGAGGATTGACATGTCCCAGAATAGTAGAGGCCAGTGACACAGAGCCACTGAGCAACAGTCTCGTGTTAGCATGGGCTTCACACTTTGCAGGTGCTTGCTCTAGCTCTAGCTAATTGATCAGAAGTGCTAAGGCAATTCACTTTTATCTGTGAACATGCCATGGAACTGTTTAGCTTTACAAACCCCTGTAAACCAGGTGGAGACTCACTTTGGCTGCCCAGCATATATGTTATCACATTGACTTCCAAAGAGCCTGTGGTTTCACAGCATGTTTGTGTCAGGATTGGAGTAAGGAATCCACCCAACAGGTAATTTCTTCCACTGTTCAGTTACGCCTTCTCACTGACTACAGTTTCACATTCAAATGTCTCATATAAACCAGATATATGCAAAGTGACCTTTCCTCTATGCTCATGTTGGTCATCTGTATGAAAAATTCCAAACATTACATAACATGAAACATTTCTTTTTGTTGTCATCTTACTATTAACTCCAATCTCAGCCCCTGAGACTGGCTCAGTAGGTTAGAGTCTGGTGCTAATAATGCCAAGGTTGTGGGTTCAATCCCTGTGTGGGCCATTCACTAGGGAGTTGGACTTCAAGATCCTTGTGGATCCCTTCCAACTCTGAATATTCTGTGATTCTATACATTTTCCAAACTTTGACAAGCGATACAGAATCAGACCTGTTACATATGTTGCTATAGCAGGTCAATGTTGCTATAGCAGGTCAATGGCTTTAACTGCTGAAGCACTATCCTGCCTGGTATATACAGAGAAGAAAATTTGCCTTATATAGATCAAGCAGGCTTTTATTATAATGATCAAATGTTACAAGCTGCACAGCATTCATAGAGAACTTTTTTTCGTGTTTTGGAGACAAAAGGGTCTATATTAAATGTTTTGTTCTGAGTGCTGGTACATTTGTGTCACTTTATACATCTGAGAGAAAAAACAGTTGGTATCTGTGGAGCACAGGAGGGGGAAAGAGGTCCTAAAGTAGTTTAAGCTCTGAATTAGATCCATTTGTAAAGCTCACCAATATGAACCGATGAGCACTATGTATTATAAAGGCTATCATGGTTTGTATTTGTGCTGCAAGACCATTGCATAATTTATAATATCCTTTAATATTTCTATGTGATGGCCAGTGCTATAAACATAAGAATGTAAGACTATGGTGAAAAATAATACTGTCAAGTGCTTTAAGAAGTTTTACACTTAAACTGTCTGACCTGTAATGAAATAGTCTCAAACTCTGGTTTGGGAATTGTATCAATCCAGTAGAGCAAATTCTTTGTATATTTTATGCAAGAATTTCTGATACACTTGAAAAAGTAAAGTTCCTACTCATATATTTCTTTTTTTCTGAACTAGAGAAACCAAGGAATAGTTTTACTTTGAGTGAAAATGTAACACATTGGTTAATAAATTTTCTTGTTTCCTCAAATACAGATCTGCAGACTTCAGTGTCACCTATCAACAAGAAAATACTAGCAGAATCTTTTTTCAAACCAGCCTGTCATGTTTATATCTCCTACCAGTCAACCACCCTGCAAAAAGCTCATTGAACTTATACAGCTGTCAGGGGGGAAAATACATAAAGCCTCACATCAGGCAAAAATCTTTATAAGAAAAAAAACAAGGAAAGAAGTACCAGGAAATAATATATTTATCATAAACAAGTGTATTAGGTAAGACACTAAATTTCAACTTATGTAAAATATTACAGAATATGTATTCAAAAATTTATCATAAATAGGTCACTGAATTGAGGTTATAGAGGGAAGAAAATAGAACCAACTGCTACAGCAGTTTCAGGAAAGTTCTCTCCATGGTCAGGACTTTCTCCCACAGCTAAGAGTACTTTCTAAAATGGCATGTATTTCAATTTTAGGTGTAGTAAGAAAGGTTTGTAAGTGGTATAAATTGGCATAACACTACTGAAATATGGTAACTGGCACCCTGTGATAATCTGTCCTGAATCCTGTACTGCACATCTGAAAGACAATTTTCTGAAGTCTGTATTTCACTTGCAAAAAGTTTCTTTTTAAAATCTGCTGTTAAGTTTCTGAGAGTTGTTGGTCTATCGCTTTTCCTACTCATTCACGACACAGTCTCACAGTCTCTCTTTTTTTCAGACAAGAGTGTTTTTCAAAAAGGGACCTTCTTCATATGAGAAAAAATAAGATCATATAACTTAAAACCTGAAAGAAAATACCACTAAAGAAGAAAGGAAAAGTGAGCTATAAGGGAAAAAACACTCACATAAATGTAAATTTTATTTCACGCTTACTTAAGGTATAAGATAAAATTGTGAAGATGGGAGAGAGAGCCATAAGAAGGTGGCGCTGTTTATTGTGCCCTTCTCTGGCTTCAAAGACTTTAAGAGCAAGTGTGGCAAAAGAAAGTGACCAGATGAGGAAACCAGAGGTTTCTGCAGGACTAAAAATAAGAGTAAATTAAACACAAAAGTTTCTTGTAGTAGTACTCCAGTCATAAATTCCAGGTGGACAAATGTAATGGTCTAAAGTTCCATGTGATTCATGTGGTGTGCCCCTCTCTTCTACTGGTTTCATGAAGTTCTGCCTCACCCCAGGTCCAAGATCTCATGAGCTGCCTGCAGCTGGACAGGCCACCTTCAGCTTATCAGGTGACTGAAGGAGTTGCATGTCCATCTGCTAAACAAAAATTACTCTGAATTCTTTGTGGCCTTTACAAATTTCTCAGTTCACTTTTGCAGTCTGATGGTGCCTTTTCTAATTGCTATATCCCACTCACAAGACACGGTTATACAAGATCCAGCTAATGGGTTTTAAATGATGAATCATCAAAGCTCAGAAAAAAGAAGCATTTCTGTATGATGCTTTAAAGGAATTATACAGGCCTTTGAAGGTCTACCCCTTCCTCAGCATCTGTGTACACAATAGGATGAACAATGTCACCTATAAATTGCTGTCTTAATCAAATAAATCAGATCTCAAGTTTTTTCTAATCTTTGACACTTTGCTGTTGCAATCCAGTTGGTTTGTGGCTATCTGCTTTCTGCTGTTAATACCAGCTGCCAAGTAATTCACTTAAGGTTGACCAGAATAAAAAGCGTATAGGTCAATAATGCAGCACCTTTTTAAAACTTAATAAATGGTAAGTGCTTGCGCTATTATCATTTCACTGTTTGCGTTTGTTTTCTCTCTCTGGGTTCTCAGCCCCACCAAACTATTTTATAACAGAAATTGCTCTGAAGTACGTGGTTGCTTTATCCTCTGTTTCTTTTCATTTTATCTTAAATAATCCTGCTTTTTTTTAAAATTTATTTTAGATTCAATCACTCAGTATACAATATGTCCCAAGTAAAACCACATTTTTCAGCTGTGAGCTAACTCAAGAGCTTCCATATGGTTGTAAGGAAACACGCCTAGTTTGGATTCAACGAAAAAATAAGCTATGAAAAAAAATTCTGTGAAAATGCAAGTTACATATTCATAAATTCAGGAGAATTGTTTCTACATTTTTAATACTTGTACAAGAGTTCATCTTGTGAAATCTTTAGTTTTTGAAATAAAGTACTTCCCTAATAAAAGTCAACTTGTTTTTATTTATTTGTTGAAGACTTTTGGACTTAAAATGAATGAATCATTATTAACTCAGAGGAAGTGGAAAGATATTATTTAATCTTTAAGTGAAGTTGATCATGTTACAGTGTAATTAGAAGATGTGCAGTCAGTGTGAGTGAGCATGCCTGAGCTCCATCTGATGTAGTCAGCAGGAGCTGTGTTACCAGGGCAGATCCACAAATCCTATAGGTTCCTCTAGTCCAAGTGTCTCTGTGGCCAGCTGGAGGCCCATGTTGCCACATCTTCATGACCATTGCTAAATACATTTCTTTGGTAAAAGAACAAGGCTGCCCATGGTGCTCAACTCACACCTGTGAGTGTAAACTTGCACTTCTAAACTGAGTTTTCAAAACTAATTGAAACTCAGTGATTATGCTCAGATGTGTAATTAAGGTATTATTTTATTTCAATGCCTTTAACTGAATCTCAAACTGTGTCTACCTTACACCTAGGCTGAAACCACAGTTACTGACTCTGAGTCAAATGCATTGACAGCATATCATTCAAATGCTAAAATCTGCTGAATTTATGAAATCCTTTAGGTATGCTTGAAAAATGTATGCAAATATCTTAAATGTTTAATTCCTCTTCAGTCTGTGGATTTGTTTTTAGCAGGTACAAAGTAGTGTTTATATGTAAAGAATGTTGCATAACACCTGTATATCTATAAAGGTACAACTCCTTTAAATATTTCCAAGTTCCATAAAAATGGTGTATCATCACAGAGAATAATGTGTTATCAAGTAACTTAATGGCAGGTCATAACTCACACTTTACAAACTAAGTGCTTCCCTCAGAGTTCTCTCAATGTAAGGAAATGGAAACTCTGTACAAAAAATTAATTATTTCAAGTTAACATTATGGAACAGTCAAAGTACAATGGTTTATAAACATTGCCATTCTATTGCATTGTTCTAACTTCTTGGGCTTTTAAAGAGATTTGAATATAGAAGTTCCGTAAACAAAGATTATACAATTTTTTTTCTTCAAAACTAGTTCAGCAGTATCTGGGTGGCAGGCTGTTTCAGGTATAAATTACATTTGTATAGTTGCTCTGTAAAATGTTAAACTTACTTCATAATGGAAAAGTTCCAAGTTATGACTATTTTATGGAAAATTAAACTGATTTTATTTTCAGAAATACTGAGCACCTGTGACTCAAAAGGTTTAAGATTTCATTTTCAAATGCTATATAGCTGGATTTAGTATATAAACTAGAAAATACAATTTCTTGAGGTCTTTTCCTTGCTTAGTGTTCTGACATGCACATTTTTAACAGCATCTTATCTAGGAAAAGTATGTCTGATAGAAAAACTGGTATGTTTGATACAAACACTGATAATCGGGTCTGTCTACAAACTGCACTATTTATCATCAAAACTATTTACCTATTCACTGCAGATCACTGGTAACATGTCATATTATCACTCTTCACCTCTGACCTTATGAGCCCCTTTATGAAGAAACTAGTTGCCAAGTACTATAGACTAGAATACAAATACTTAAATAGGTTATAGCATGTGAACATTTGATTCCCAGTAAATAACAGAATAATTTATTTGAATTATACTGCTTAACTTTGAATATAATGACCTCCAAGTTTTATTTTGTAGTCATTTCCTAAGTGTACTACCCATAAAAATCTGTCACTATTAATTTATATAATATAGCATTCCAAATCAGCTTTCTCATAAATCTTCTTAAGATTAATCTCAGCTATTTAAATTGTAAATTCTTGGATCAACTTCTTGGTCTTTATTACTCACACATGTAACAAATTTGACAATGAAAAGTCCAATATCCTTTTTCCCTAAACTAAAACATTTCAGATAAAACAATTGGTCAATTTAGATAATTTCATTTTAAATTATATGGTTTGATAGAAATCCCTATCAGCTGTTCTTGCAAAATTTGTGGTAGACAGGCAGATACAGCCAGAAGAAAACTAAATTCCTAATTTTGGTCTCATGGTTGGCAACAGGAGTGCTGTCCATCCTGACTGACTCTTGCTTTGTAATAGTCCATAGCAAATACAGGAGAGGTTAGAAATAAATCCAAAGACTGACACCTTGTACAGGTAGTAAAAAAATTTGTCAGAAGAAATCCACCAAGCAAAAAACCACTTGTACTTGATACTAAGTCCTAAAGACAGTAACACTGAGAAGAAAAGGCAGAACACCAAGCAGCAAGACGCATCAGTGATTCATGAGTAGTTTTGAGTTGGTCAGTGCTAAGATCTTTGCAGTGTACAGTGGTTTGTGAACATTCTGTCACAGCACAACCACGCATTCTGTCCTCTACAAACTAGTACCAGGCTCTCCTTATAAGGAATCTACTTTATGTTTTTTAATTTCCTTTATTTCTCTCAATTTTTTTTTTTTTTTTTTTTTTTGTGGAGGAGAGGTTGTCTTAACCCTACCTTTTTCATCCTGCATGAATATTTTTGCCATTCATTTGTGAAAATGGCTCAGCTTAGCCACTGTCCCTCCTTCTCAGAGAGCTTCTGCGCCCCTGTTAAAGGCTGTCACTAGCAAAACCCCATTAGCACAATTAAAGATCTTTGTAATCTTCATTTGGTTAGGAATCTGTTTAAACTCAAATACATTTAATGTACACTAAAATACATTTAGTTTAAACTAAAATACATGAAAAGTCAAAACAAGTATTATTCCTTCCTGAGATTCACATTAGCTGAGTTAATTTGTAAATGTAGTATAAGTCCCAGTACAAGTCCTATTTTAACTCATTTTACTTTCATCGGTGGTATAGGTGGTATCACTTGAGTGCAGACCACCAATATCCCTCCCATCCTTCCCTTTCCAGAGATAAGAAGAGCTTTTACCACACTTTGCACACTTTTACCACACTTTGTGGGGACTTGCACTGGTAAATGTGGAAAACACAGGCATGGCCTTGAAGAATGTGTTGCTTAAGCTGTGTCAGAATGGCAGTAAAATTGGTGTCCTCTTCAGACAGTATATCCCTAAAAATAAACTGGGATTTAAATAATTTCTTAGTTTCAGTGACTAATGATGTGGGATTACCTAAGGATGTGTTTGAAAGCAAGACTGACAGAA